ATGTAGATATGGATTTGACACCTCATGTTGTGATAATTTGATACTTGACATAAAGTTTCGTAAAGAAAAAAAAGTATTTTTAAAGGATTAAAAAAAGTTAAAGCTGGTTTGATGTGGCTTGGAAGGGATTTGAAGGTGAGAAAGAAAATATTAAAGTTAAGTGGTGTGATATTAAGTTGCAGATTTAAGGAAAATTGAGATTTTTGGTCAACTTTAAACAAGACGATAACTGGAAGTGAACTGTGCATCCAATATAAGGGCATCTGTCCTTAGTAAGGTTGAGGAGTAATTCATAGGCTGGATTAAAGACAAACCTAATGCAAAATCTATTATTTACTGTCTTTTTACCCAAATCAGACTTAAAAACTATAAATTGTGGTCGTTATTGGGCTTATTTCTTAAATATCCATGAATTTGCACTCCATTACTTAATCTAAAAGATGTAGCTCCCTCAAATCTTCCCACAACAAGTTTCACATTGATTAAAGTCAAGTCAATTGAATTGTCACAGCTCCCACCCTCCTTTCTGATTCAACAAAATCAAACAAGATAGTAAAATGTACACAAGCTAGACATGAGCAAACAAATCAATGAAAAAACTAGGTAACTAGAATATCCGAAGGTGTGGAAAATTTAATAAACATGCTCATATAAAATGGAAAGTTAATGTCTACTGAGTAATGGCTCATTAATTCTCTCGAGTACAAAGGAAATTAGATCAAAGAATATTCTTAATTTCCATGAAAATAACAAAGCCAATCCTTTCATTATAATGGTAATTTATAGCTAAGTAGAATGTAATTTGACCTCAAATTGCAAACAACCTTACTTCCATTTGAAAAATTCCTTTTAATTTTCCACATACTTTTCATTGCGATAAAAATCTATCCTCGACCAAATCAAATGCTTTATGCACTTTTTATGCTCCTATTTTTATTAGGTCACATAATGAATAATGGTGTGCAGATTGAAATATTTTATTATATGTCATCATCAAATGTAAATCTGATATGAAGGCATTAATGTGGAGAATTTAACGATTGGAAGATTTTGTATTAGTAATGACATGATGCGATGTGTCACGTATTTTATATGAGACTATAAAAGTGGAAATCTATGAATTTATTATGGAGGAATTGTGGAGGAAATTATAAAATATGGTTTATAGGCATGTCACTTGAAGGGATGAATCTGACAGAGATTTAGAAATATATTCATACGTGGTTCGCTGGTGTTTTTGAGGAATTTGCGATGGATTATGACATGCTGATCAATAAAGGGAAATCTATATTTTGATATTGTCCATTGTAACTTAAGGAGCTAAATGACCGAATAGTCAAGCTGTATGACTAGAAAACAAAGATCTTCCCCATTTGAGATATTGGTTTGAATCCCCAAAAAAAAACTATGAGGTATAGGTTCTATTCTTACTAGAGATCAATATCTCAATTCATAGTGGATATGATAAATTCTCAAAACTGATATTCACAATGTAATATTTCAGTGAATTTCATATTAAAATTCAATCAATTATCTTTGCATTCAACAAAAAAGCAACAGTAAATTCCTATCCTAAAGATATACAACAAGCAAATCCATCACAAAGGATGATTTCAACAAGAATTCAATTCAATTTATTTCTCAACAATTTTTCCATCCAATTAACTTCATTCTAATCAATTTAAGATTGATTCTTGATAGATTTACAATTTGCTTCTATAATCCTCATGTCAAGCAGTGGTGGAGTCAAGGATTGAAAGGATTATTGAGGATTCAAACTTAAAATAGAGCTTATAGTCAACTAGAATTTTGAATGAACTTTGGATCAAATTTTTCATGTGTTCCAGATCAATTTAAACTTCAGTTTTGTTTCAAATGCTTAATATACAATATAGAACTTCTTAATACATATCTGAATTGTAGATAAATTCCAATACTATTAAAATCAATCGACTGACGAGGAATCCTTCATTTTCTCACAGTGAAATTCTCCATAGATCGAAATAAAAAAATGTCAATCGAAAAAATGTTTCTCAGTTTAGAAGAGATACAACAAAAATTCTCATGCAATAACTATGTGCAATGGAATTAAATTAAAAAAGAAAAGAATTTAATAACAAAGAAAATGAAAAATGAAATAAAAAGAAACATAAAGGAACATAAACAAAACGCTTTGTTTCATTTGTCTTTTCATGTCATTTTTTTTCAATCATCGAAATAAATAAAGTCAAAAAAAATTAAATAAATAAATATTCTGAATGAAATTTCAGTGATAAAAAGCGTTGTGTTTGAAGAATAGAATTAAGAATTAAGAAAATAAAAAATTAAAAGAAATTTTCAATATTTTTACCTTGAAAGACTGTAGTACGTAGTAGTAGTTGATTAGTTATTTGAATATTTTTAATAATTTGAATTATTCCCGTACACAGCAGTGATAAATGTGTTGACAAATACAAAAAGGATGTTTAACATTGTTGATAATTTGTGATTGTGATTGTGAATTTGTGTGTAATTCAGTTTAGTTTTGTTATAAAAAAAACGAGAAAAAGAAAAAAAAAACGTTGTAAAAAGAGATGAGAAAGAGAAAAATAATTAAATAAAATAAAAAAAGTTGTTCATGTTCGTTGCATTAATGTTTATGTAAAGTTCAGGCAAAAATTATGATTAAAATCATAAATCTTGATTTTCAGTCTTCTGTGGAGTTGGATTATGCTCAACTTTTTGTTTGTAGAATGGGTTAATTTTCTGAATTGGATATGAGTTGGTCGAGTTTTGCAATTTTCATTAGAGTTGAGGGATGTCCTTTGGGAAAAATGAGGTTTGCAACCTTCTGCAATGTTTTTAATCCTGAATTTGCCTTTGTAACTTTAGATTTATTAAATTAACTCTTAATTTATATTGTTTTAAATTTTTATGAACTTGAGGAACTTAAAATCCATGATTTTGAACCTTTTGAAAGTTTAAAATTCAAAAATTGATTCAAAATGATCAAAAACAGTTAAAAAAGATTCTCAAAAGATTTCTTTTGGAATTTTTTCTACCTCAAGTATAAGAAAAAGCTCGACTAATTCACAGAGCATTTCTTTAATCAACCAATTTATCAGAATTTCCTAAACTCATTTCGTGCCAACTCCACAGAAGCTTGAAAAGCAAAAAACTTCCCACAAAATTTATTATTTGATTAATTTGTCGTATTTTTTGTGGCATTTTTATTAAGTTTCGCACGGTGATACCTAAAAGACCGATGAAAAGGATAACAAAGAAAAAAGTTTTTTTTTCATGACAAAAATAAAAATAATAAAAACTCATAAAAATGAAAACGAAAAGATTTTGTATACATAAGCAAGTTTTAGTGCCGTTGGATTATTTTTAGACATTTATTGATTTATCCATACTCATATAATAATTATAGATATTGAAAGCCTATTAAAAAACTTATATTCCATCTATTTTTTGGTGTGTGATTATTTTATATTATTTTGCATCTACTACGAATCGTTCTCATATGCAATTGATAATTAATTGAGTTATAACTTTATATATTTGTGCATTTATCAAATTAAATTATTAATGCTTTAGGTTTAAATACTCCAAAATTAAATATTTTTTGAATAATTGTAATTAATTGCTAGTTTGGTGATTTATATAAGTTATTTCATGCAATTAAATTAATTATTTGATTTCGCAAATTTCTCAGTATTTACTCTGATTATTCAATTTGAATATTTTATGGCTAAGCACGGCACGTGCTTTTTTTCATTTTCAGAAAATACAATCGATTTTTCAGGATATTTACATAAGCTTTTCAATACAAAATACACAAGGATTTGAATAATTCATTCGATAGGCGTTGTTAAGCTGTTGAATTATTCTAAGAAAGCTTTAGAAATTCTAGCGAGAAAAATTGTTTTTAAATGGAAGATTTTGAGCTTATTTGGTACTTGATGAATTGATTAAAAGGTTAAAAAATTGGAAATTGATTTACTTTAGATAATGATGATATTATTCACGAATAACACGAGTCGTTAGATTGATCAGAAATCTGGCACCAAGCCTTTGCGACTCTGGCATGGTGCTGGATTTAAATCAAAACCTAAAAAATTTCTATTTGACCATCCGACGGTTATGTTGTTCGGGATTACGCACATCTAGAGAGATTATTGTCTTTAGAATCTAAAGTAATATGCTTATTAGAATGTTTTGAATTCAAAGACATTTCAATCACTTAAATTCAAACAATCAAGATCAGAATTGAATTCTTTTAATTACAATTATCCATCAAACTTACTTTTAAAGCATTTAAACCTTACTGTTATTATTAAAATAAAGATGACGTAACAAAATCAAACTTTTTTTCTTTATTTTCAAAAAAAGGTTACAAAACTTAAAGAAAAATATTATTTTTTTATGAACGAAAAAACTTTTTATATTTCTTTTAAAAGCTTTGAAAATGATGAAGAACTCAATATCAACTTATAAAGGATAAAATTCATTCAAAAAAGATTTGCGGATATGGATAAATTAGATATACGAAATCTCTATTCATTATGATCCATAATTGTGCAGATATATTAATTAAAAATGATAAATTTTAATATATTTTGCCGAATAAAATTGAATTTGGTTAGCGTACTGTCATGGGACGCAATTAACGCTGTTTATATGCAATTATGGTTTAGCAAAAATATTTTTTTTATGATTATTTGTCATGTAAACATGTGCTTAACAAAACCTTTTCTGTGTTGTTTTACTTTTTTTTATTGAATAAAAATTTTGAAAAATTATAATTGAAATTTCAATTCTTTTGTGAGGTAGCAACAAGAGCTGCCAACTTCTCATGTCACCAAAAAATAGTAAAAAATGCTCACATTCAACATCTTTTTTTTTGTTTAAGAAAAATCATAAGAAAGTTCAAAAAGGACTTAATTTGCCTTCTTGTGTCATTATTATCCAATGTCCATGAATATGTTAGTAATCAATTTAGAACAGCTTTTACGTACCTCGAGGAATTTAGCGACTGTTGTGTCAACAACCATAAGTGGACGATGAATCAAGTGAACGACTCCATTTTTCACTGGAATGTTACCCAAAACTACTTCAGCTAAGACTACTCCGGCTGTGTGTTTGGCGTCTCCCACGACTGTGTTGGATTTGACATAGGCTGTGAGATGAAATTTGATGTTAAATTGATTTTTTAAAGATTTTTAAATTAGCTTGTAAGTTGAATTTTTAAACTTTGACTTGATAAGTGCGTTTTTCTGAATTTTAAATTAAAATCAACCTAAACCTTTCCTAGTAGGAATCAAGCTCATATTTCCAATAAATTCTCATGAGAAAAACGCGCTCGATTCTCTCAAGTCTTCAACAAATCTCCCAAAATTCCTTACTTTTCGAAGATTTTCCATCATTTTGCGTGAAGAAAGTTGCCGTAACTTTCAAATTATCCTCAAATGCTTCAGTTTCAAATGGCTGATCTAAAGGTGCTGACGATGTGAAAATAACGTGATTGGGAATCACATGGCCATCAATTACTTTCTTATCGATTAAGTCAGGACGGGGTGGTGGCTGTAAAAGACAATTTATCAAAATAATTACTTCACAATTTATCAATTTGATTAAAATTGATTGTTTTGTCAAACCTTAAATCCTTCTTCGACAGGAATAAAGAATGTGTGGAATCCATCAGCGGAATAAAGTTGTTCCTTTTTGGAAATGACGACTCGTTGATAAAAGCTTCGTACACGATGTGATCCAATATTGAAAGTATTTGCATTTGTGAGGAATTGAAGAGCGTCTGGATTGTAGATATCACTTGAACCTTGATTTGTTGTTAGTGGAACTAAAATGTCATCGATTACGTGAAGAACCTGCGAAAAGAAAATGTTTTAATAGTACTTTATGCTAAGTCTACTTAGAGACGAAATGCTTTTAGAATTGTTTGTCATGCTTGATAGGATAAATCCGAATATTTTTAATGCACAATTTTATTTGAGATTTTTTAAGCTTTAATGGACTTCAATCGCATGTTTTCATGAAGCAACAATGAAGCACATTCCTTTATTAAGGATTAGCACGTGATTCCTCACTTACTGCTTATAAAATTCCTCTTAAATTAAATTTCCAACAAATTACCGTCTTCAAACCTTCTTAAAGCTTTAAGACTTAAAACAAACACAATGCAAATTTCCATTCCATCCTCTTATCGTCCTCAAATTTTGTTGAATGAATTTTAAAATTAGAATACAGCCTCAAACCATCTCGCAAGACTTACAATTAAGAGCTTTGAGAAAATGTTTCTTCGTCCTACATTTTACGACACGAGAGAATTCTCTGAAGCCATTTACTTTATCCTTTTAATCACCTTCTTGTTCGTGTGGCTCAGAAAAAAAGTTTTTGTTCCACAACACACAATGGAATTTATCAGCTAGAAAAGTTTCTAGATTTAAAGTTAATAAATTTTTCGCTTTTACTTCATAAATAAAATTTAAATTTACAACTCAAAATATGAAGATGTGAGGGACGAGAATTTATATTTACTTGAAGTAAAATGCTTACCTTAGAGATTAAAGATTACATGAGTAGAGTTTTTAGAGGGTTATTTATAAATGATGTCAAATGTTTAGAAATACTTCAAGCAGATTTAAGAAAACTAGGGTTAAGTTGCTTTGGATTTACTAGGGTCGTTGGACTATTATACTATATAAGGATATGATTTAAAGATATAGACTGTCGTAGACATCACTCATGAACATCCCCTTTTTCCCAACAAAAACCAAAACTTTCATGTTTTTAATGATTTAATTCTCATCCTTGAAAGGACTTGCTTGAATGGAGAAAACAACATCATGTATAATAGTTTGTGAATATTTAATGCAATATAAAGTATTAAATAAGGTTACTGTGCTTTGTGTTGTGATGACTTAACAAGTTGCAAGTATTTACTTGTTTTTGTGTGAATTTTTGAGCTTTCAACAGGATTGTATGTTTAATTAAATCTGTGATGTTAAGTTTAATGACTTAGAAGGAATGGATGTTGTTACGATTGTAGGATATTCGGCTTGTATGCAAAGGAGCTTCTAGAAAACTCATTTGGAAGTTGTAGGATGAGATGTTGGAGCATACAGCTACTAAATAGCAGTTTATGACTAAAGATAATTTATATTGTAGATCAGGCACCTGTACACAGGTGAGAACCGTACAATTCCTTGATAATTTGTAAGGTTTTTCTAACAAAAACATACAAATTGTAATAAAACCTCACAAATTATCAAGGAATTGTATGGTTCTCACCTGTGCCTGTATCGCAACCCTGGATCAGACTAATCAAAATCAATACAAATGAGTCCAAAAAAAATCTTGAAACATCAGTTTTTGATCCTAAACAGATTTAAATCCCCTTCTTCTCTTAAGCAGCTACTTAATCAACAACATAAATCTAAAATAATCATTCTTATTCAGAAATCCTAAGCACTAAAAGTTACAACTGAACATCAGCTTCCTGTAAGTTATTCATTTCATCCTAAAAATGCTAATAAATCATTAAATATTGATGAATGCTTTTCATTACCAGCAACGAGCTTAGAACACTACTGAGAATCAACAAAAGGATTCTGATTATATTTCATGTAAAATGAGAAATATTTCATTTAAATCCCCCGTCGAGCTACTAAACAAGGCTCGTAAAACATCAAAAATTCATTCGATTCCGCTCATTAGCGCAGAGTAAAGTGAAAATTAATTTTCATTCATTATAATTTTGTGCTATTAATATTTTCGGAATTATCCCATCAATCACATCAAAAATGATACTCAACCCACCTGTTTCTTTCCTTGCTCATTTTTCAGCTCAACATTGGATCTTGATTTGAGAATCATAGCATTATTGACATACATCTCCTCACCATTTGCTGAACGTTTTCGTGTTATGTAAATCGGTGGATTTCCCTCCATATCCGTGAACATTTCTGCCTTTAAAGACTCCAATTTGTTTGGTGTATTAACTGGAAATGAGAGCAATAGAATTAAAATGGATGTCAATTAGTTTCAAGTTGTGTGTAAAATATCGTGACGGGTTGTGGATAATTTTATGCTGCATAATTTAACATATTTTACATTCTAAGTTGAAGGCTGGGTGAGGTAACAGCAGTTTATGTAAACGAGAGAACCCTTTTTCCGTGCAATTTATCAGCTTGAATTAAAATTTATCAGGGCGTGTTTGGTGGATTTTAAATTGAAAGTTCTGATTCTGATCGGAATTTTGAGATTTTGGTTGAGTTTAAAAAATAATTTATAAGGTTGAGGTATCAATTTTTGGCACCAAATCTAATATTTGCATTCCTCCTAAAATTATAGTAGGTAAGACCTACTCTAAGACGATTTATATTGACAACTTCACATTAATCATTTAGAATTCAGCTTCTGGTGGGATTCGAACTCATGCATGCATAGAAAAATATACAGATTTCAAGCCTGCTGCTTAACAAATCTACAACTGAGACCTAGTCATCAAACTGGCAAATTCAAGTTCTAAACGTTATCCATATCATCTCAGCTTCATCAAAAACCTCTAGATCTTCTCAGCCTCATCTAGATCCTTACATTCGTCAACAATTTAAAATAATCAAACAATACTCACGTATATGATATAGCACATTAGCTTTAAGATCAGGATAACGCTGAAACGCTTGATTTGTTGGTGCAAATATTGTCAAACTTCGATACTTAAATAACGACACGATGCCTGGATCTCGTTCAACTAAATCAGCAAACTGTTAAAGTAAACAAGAAAAATAACATAATAAAGTAAATTGTCTCATTTCAGATGAACAACAATAATAATCATAATGAGAGAAATAATATAAAATAAGTGGCATTATCAAGCATTACATAAGGATTACAATGTCCGTAGCACTAGAACTTCACACATACAGTTTGATACATAAAAGAGAATGTGGATAGAATTGAGTTTTAACAATCAATGATTGCTATACATTTTCTCGTCTAGCAATTGCCTCGCATTTCTTTTCATTTACTTTTATTTCCTTTCTTTTGTAAACAATCTAGCAAGGAAACGACGACAACGATGACAATGTCAACATACAAAAGTCCTTACGATGTCAAAATGGTAAAGTGATAAAATCTACAATTGGAAAAGAGATGGAATGAGCATTGGCTAAGGGAAGCATAATATCAGTACTTTTTCACATCAATTGACTCTTTTAAACGATCTGTTGAGAAATTGAAAAATCTTTTGTAGTTTGGATTGGGATAAATGGATGGAAATTATCAAGGGAAAATAAAATGCTCAAATTTTAGTAGAGTTCGCTTCTAGATATGAAGCTAGAACTCAATTAGATCGAGTTTCATTCATTTTTGACTGTAGATATGCAAGCTATACAGTTAGTCATTCCAAGCATGGCAGATAATACTGGCAACAGCTTGTTATTATAATATTAATTCCACTAAACTTAGTTTAACCACAGTATTGGCAAGAACTTAATAGAATCAACACTTGGTGCCATTTCTAGCAGCTGAAATAATTATATTTTATCTCTATTGCCATAAGTAGCAACATCAGCTGACTCTATATTGAGAACACGATGCATCAGAACCAACAACATCTTAAAGCATCAACATTACCCAAAATAATCATTCCACATGCCTGTCATTCCCAAAAAGATCACCACAATCAGTCAAAACTCAATTAAACTGACAAACAAACTGCGCAACTTCCTCTATGTCTTTCCCAAAAGCTCATTCTAACTTCCTATTCAATATTTTCCCCTTTCTTGTACGTAAACTTCCTCCTCGTCTGCCTCTTAACTATATCTCAATTGATATTCATATGAATGTATTTCAGCTAACAGATAACAAGGTTTCCATTCCCATAATATGATCTCGAATAAGGAATTAATTTTGGATATGAATGTTACAGCATCTGTCGCATGCACCTGAATACTTCCTTCATGCGGATAAAAATAAAGTTCTCAAAACTTTTAGACAGGAACAAATGGAAAGTTTTTTTTTGTTTCATTTGTGCTGAATAAGCGCATCATGTCATTTGTACGTCCTCATAAGTAACTCTTTCATGAATGCTGAAAATCGATTTTTCTGTTTCTGAAACATTTTTTTTCACCAACTTCCTCTCTCCTTTTGTCCATTCACATATATGAAACTGGGTTATCTTTTTGCCATACCGAAAGTGTCCCTTTTTCTGTTTTATGTGTGTCATGCTGACAGTTACACTATAATGTGGAGCAAATGCATCAAACGGAATTTCTCTCCCTGGTCATTTTTATCTTTGGGGCATGGAAATAAAGTTTGTGTGATTCATGTTCAGTACAACAGATTCATTACGTTTAGTGTTATTTCTGTGTAAGAGATGTGAGATTGACAGAGAATTTGATATGTTGTATCTGGATTGCCCAGCTGTCTAGGGAGTATTTTTTTTGGTGGGTTTATGATTGTTCGGAGTTGTTTGACTTTATTCTGAGTTGCTGTGCTAGATTTATCACAATCTTGACTCTCCTGAGACTCGAACTTAAGCTAATTAAGTGATTGTAACAGTTTGGAATGTCTGGAGGACTAGAACATTCAATTGCTGAGCTAATATAGCTCCTAAACCTCTCAAATTTAATTGATCTTCCTTAAGAATCAAACTTAGCTCGTATAGCTTTGATTATCGATCCATAAAACTTTCAGCTTTTCTCCTTATCAATTGCAAATCAAATTTTATCATCCAGCAACATTTTAAAACCCAAACATTGTCTCATCCACATCGATTGACCTTCCGTCTGCAAGTTTCTTTCTTTTTGGCTGAATTCCAACTTCATCATTCTAATTAAAAGATGATACAATCTTCGAACAAAGCCATTCAGTTTCCATTCCGTTATGTTATCTATTAAGCTCAGTTATCCAAAGACGACATTCAATAGCTTATCAAACTCGAATATCATGACATTTATTACTTAACATTTGTTTATCTTCATGTGTATTTGTTTTTGCTCTGTGGATATAAATGGCGGCAACATATTGTATCTGTCGAAATTTATTCAATTAACACTAATTGAATGAAGTCAGCAAGAAAATCAGTTTTATGGCAATTTTGTGTGAAATCCTTCCATTTAGGATGTTATCAATTTTGTGTTCTTTTTTTTCTTTAACCAGAAATAACCATAGAAATATATTGATTTTCAAAGTTAGATGGTCTATTTGCAGTTGAGTGTGAATAGAAAGGAAGAAGAAGGAATAAAAAAAACTTTTCTTTTTCCATTAAATCATTTTGTTTCTGTAGAAAAAGAAAGGATATTTTTGACATTAATATGGCAGTAAGTTGTGTCAGGAAGTGGAGTTGTTGGGAATTTTTTCGGTAATTAATGATTATTTGGGTATAGTTTGAGGCTATTGACGTCAAATTGAATTTTTTGCACAGCTCAAAGTAAGATGATTGGTGGCAGTTCTCAGTTTGACTAGACTAGAATGGTTTCATAGAATCTAGCTTCAAATCTAGTCAGTCGAATCTAGTAAAACTAATCTAGTACGACAAATCTAGTAAGTTGAATCTAGTACGAAAAATCTAGTAAGTCGAATCTAGCTTCATATCTAGTCAGTCGAATCTAGTATAACGAATCTAGTACCACAAATCTAGTAAGTCGAATCTAGTACGACAAATTTTGTAAGTCGCATCTAGTAAGTGGAATCTAGTATAACGAATCTAGTACCACAAATCTAGTAAGTCGAATCTAGTACGACAAATCTAGTAAGTCGAACCTAGTACGACATATCTAGTAAGTCGAATCTAGTAAGACAAATCTAGTAAGTCGAATCTAGTAAGTTGAGTTACTAGCAACACACATTTTTACTCTACAACCCTCAAGTCAAAGACAAAAAACAGACTGTGCCTCAATAAACATCCACTTTAAAATAATATCCAAGACTTAACTCCTTCATCCTCTTTCTCAATATCAACAAATTTATGCAACCATAAACTTTTACAACACAATCTTAAAAGACAACCATCATAAAGTATTTTCTATTCCCTCTCAAATTGTTGCTGCTATTAGCAAAATTGCACAAGAAAGAGGAAGCCTACTTACTTAATCATCATCATATTTCCTGACTGAATTAGAATGAAGAAATGAAGCTGAAGTGTGGCATAAGTTAAGTTTAGAGTCAAGGAATATAATAAATTGTGGTGTTTACATAAATGCCTTAGCCTCATTCCATGTTCTTAAGGGTTAATGCTCACAGAAATTTATTTAGGACTCGATTCTTTTTCTTCTGTTGATCTTTCGACTTTCTACACGCATATACATGAGAAATATGATTTATAAGGATAAAGTTCATTGATCAAAAAATCAAGTCACAAAGTTTTTTTTCCATCCACAAAAAAATAATAACCATGGAACTTTATTTGCATAATAATATTGTCTTATGTAAGAAAAATGTGACGGCACAGAAGAAGACAAGCTTGAAAAAAATTTAATATCGATAAAACAAAGTTTTTTTTTGTGTCTATTGCAAGGGTGGGAGGCAAGAAAAGTTTGTCTTATTCAATTCCTGCAAGCTTTGTGCTCAGACATTGACAATCGTTATGGGAGCATTTTACTGGATCGTAAAATGTCTATGGATTGATCGATTGATTTTTGTGTGAAGGATTTGGAAGGTTAAAGTTGTTTTTAATGCTGGTAGAGTGCCTTGTTGTGTTGGGAGTTGAAATTTAAAGATTGTTGGTTTGATGTGGTCGGGGTAGGCACTAGTCGATCAAGCAAGAGGATGAGGACTGGTTTTGTATTGAATTCTTATAAAATCAAAGCAGGGCCCAGTTGCCAGTTGATAGTCATCTAGCCTTTAATGAATTAAATCGAGTGAACAACTTCTTAGTTTATACAGAGTTGCAGTGCCTCCAGCTGAAAGGCTGGGCCCTTCACACATTAGTATTATTATTAGATAAAATAAAACATTCTGCATAGTTTACATAAAATTAATTTTACTTCGAATTAACTTCGAAACAAAAATAATTATACGTTGAATATTTGAAATTGCCAAGGTTCAAATCCTTAAATGATGTTATTATTCCAAACCTGTATTCTAAAAGAGTATAAGAAAATTTCTTTTTTGCCTAGATTATTTCTAATTTTTTGTCTCATCCGCAGCTCTACACAAACTAGAATTCTCGCTCAATAGCACATTTTCCACATGAATTAAAATTCATTTTCCAGACATACATATCGGATTTTCCTTCATTTACTCATTAATTTTATTCCATCGAGTACGACGCTTTCCCTTGTTCCATGCTCAGACAGTTTAAGCGTAGAGAAAGTGAAGACGAAAATAAAATTAAGAAAATGAGCAGAAAAAAAAGATTTAATTTCATTGATTGAGAAAATTTGTTTGATGCATCTCAACAGAATTCATTGAATTGGAAATTTTTCCTTCATTTTCACATTTTTATTATTGTTAATTTTGTGTAGGATATGCAGCACGCTGGGGTTTGTGTACTAAAAAGGGGTGAAAGCATATTGATATGCATACATGAATAAATATACAAACATGATGTTTATGGATAAAGTTTACTAAATTTATCCTCAACCATTTGAATGAATTGGCAGCACCCTTCCTCTTGTCGTTAACTCCTTCATATATTTTATTTATTGATTGTTTGTAATTCAGGATGTAAAAGGATGGTGAAAGTATGGAAATCAATATTTTGATGATTTTGGAGGTGATCTTGAAGGGTTTTGAGGTTTATTGGGATTTGAACTTTGAG